AAGACAGGGAGGCAGGAGAACAAATCTTTTTCTGAAACAAGATGAGAGGGATTTTTGAAGAAAAGAAAACCCACATCACTCTGTATGAGAAAGGCTTCTTTTGCTTGACTCCATCATGTCTTGTTTTTCACATCATTTTTTGTCTTAATTATCACAAACATCTGACAACATTGGATGATTGCCTCCTTCAAACTGTCGGTGCTCAATTTTCCTCCTGATTAGGTCTACCCGTTAGAGGCCAAATTCCTCTCTGTTTGGTCCATGGAACCCAGGTCCTCACTGCTAGACAACTTCAAAAAAGATACATGCACTGTGCCCTCTTACTCCCAGTCACAGCCCCTCGCTTCTTAACCCTTGGCTTCTGTCTTCCCTACTCTATTGAAATTGCTCCTGTAAAGAGCACTGTTGGTCTCATAATTGTAAACTGTTGCAATGTCCACCCTCCTAAACTACCGGCTACACCGTCACTCCTCCTTCAACTTGTCTATTCCCCCTTTTCAAAGCTTCTCTCTCTCTACCTTCTGCCCTAGGAAGCTGGGTATCTCCCATAGTTTTCTCCTCTTCCTTTTTCCTCACCCTCCTTGGCAATTCCATCCACACCATGACCTCATCATTTACCTCCCCATTTATGGAATAGACACCTCTCCCCTGCTTTTGAGCCTTCTTTCCTACCTGCCTCATAAGCATCTCTAAAAAGTTGGCTTCCAAGAAACTCAAACTCAGTATTTCTAGCTGAGCTTGCCTACTTTTCTCCTCGCCTATGACTCTTCTTTGTTCCCTGTCTCCAAGGCACTCCGGACTGTCACTAATCATACCTTTAATCCATCTTCTTTCCATTCCATTTCCATTTCCATTCCCCTGCTTAGACACTTGATACCTCCTGTCCAGATTATTGCAGTCGTAGAGCTGACGTCCCTCCTCCATGTCCCTCCCTACTCAAGCATCATCACAGTTCACACACTGCAGATGGGTCTTCCAAAATTATAGCACTGATTATGTTTCTCTTCCTGCTCAACAACCCTCAGTGGCAACTCTCCATTAACTCTCAAGTTAAAAATTTGCCTGAGCTTTTAATACCTTAGATGATCTGGCCCCAGTCTACTTTCTTAGCTTTATTTCCTACCACTCAGCTAAAGACTGAAACATGTGATCTTTCCTTTCTAGGCTTTGTATTTTTCTGCTACTGTTACTCTACTCAAGCTACTCTTTCTGCATTTCTCCCAGTCGTTGTATTCCACTATCTCAACCCTCCTCGAAGAATTCTGTCTCTTCCATGGAGTTTGTGCTGATTATGCCATTCTCCCTTCCATTTCAGAATACCCACTGTGGTTAATACTGATCACTCAGCATTATCCCACTTCAACTTGTTTTATTTTAAATACTCATTTGTTTCTTACATGTTGTATCATTTAAAAATATTTAAAACATTTTTATTTTATTTTTTTTTCCCTTTAATGGAGGCACTGGAGATTGAACTCAGGACCTCATGCACACCAAGCATGTGCTCTGTCACTGAGCTATACCCCCCACACCTCCAACTTATTTTAAAACAATGTTGTGAAGCTATCTGTCCTAGAAATGCCTAGGAAATAGGGAAAGCTGTCTTATGCATTTTTGAATCTCCTCCAGCCTGTAGCACACAGCCTTCCTTGCCTAGTAGGTGTTTTATTTCTTAGAGAAATAGAATTCGTCTTGATACTTCTTACCATATTTGGTTTACAATGAAAACTACCTTTATCTCCTTCTCTCACTCCTCCTCCTTCCCCTGCCCCATTTAGATATAAAACACAGACTGCTACCATATGGTGCCTTTCTAGCCACACACTTGTAGGAGAGGAAGAAACATGTTATTATGGACTACCAATCCTTTATCTGTATAAAACAATTCTAACTTGAGAGCAGATAGTTGGTTTAAAGTTTGGTAGATTCAGTGTTATTCTGGTAGGCTATTTAACCTCCTTTACTAGGAGGTTGAATGACGGACACTTGTAAAGACTGCATTAATTTAGCTTTACAAAAATTTTAATGTAAGAAAACATTTAACAAACTGGAAAATCAAAAGCCCATGGTGGGCAGGTAGGTGTAATTCTTGAAGGGACATTACTTTCTTTTAACAAAAATTGTCAGTTAAGTGATGAATAAACAATAAAAATGGGAGAAACGAATAGACAAATTGTTCTACAGAATGAGTATACGGCAGACTTTTGGTACCAGACAAGGTGGAGCAAGACTACTACATCTCATCTGTCTCCTATAAACTCATAAAAACTCTAACCTCTGGACAGAATACAGAAGGGAAGTGCCTGGAAACTCAGAAAAGTAATAGAGGTCAGGGAGGGAAGGGAAGCCAAAACTTGAAGAACAACCAGTATTGGTAAGTTTTCTATTTTCTCTCTGCCTGTATGTCTCAGCTTTGATTTATGAAAAGCCCGCAATCTGAGTGGTGGAACTATGCAACAGGTGTGAAGGATAGAATCCTGAAGAAAGTTGTCATTTTGGTCGAAAATCAGTAAAAGAGGGCTCTGAAAGTCAGAGAGCATGGGATGAGATCTCTGTTGTTTTGTCGTTTTTCCTTTTTCTTCCTTGGCCATGCCTGAAGCCAGCTCCAGTCATGGTACATGTGGTGCTGGTGGAATATCTAAGCCCAAGAGACAACTCATCTCCATGGTCAGAGGACCCGGGAAAAGGGGCCCTAGTGGCCTGAATAGTGTGTAGGTTGGAATCCTTTATTTATTCCCTCTCCTTACTCTTACCCCTACATCCCAAGGGTGATCCCCATTGCACAAAACAGTGCGACACCATGAGGCTTAGAGCCCACAAAGTAACTTTCTGGCCAGAGAAACTGGTAAAATGGGCCTCTGGGAGCCAGAGAGTCGAGGACTCTTTGAGAGAAGACTGTTGGGAAGAACATACTCTAATTATAGGAAATGAAATGATGCAAGTCCTGGAATCATACCTGAGCTACATATTCAGAGAAAAACAAAGAAGCGAAGCAGAGACTGTGAACTAGACTGACCCTGGGATTAGCACCCACCGCAGATGAGACTGAACTCGCAACCTAAACTTAACTGAATTGAATGACTTCAGAAAAAACAAACAAACAAAATCAACATCCTCTGGAGGATTTTAATAGAATCCAGAGTCTCATAACATTATGTTCAATATGTCCAGAAAACAATGCAAAATCACTTACCATGCAAAGAACTATGAAAATATGACCAATTCTCATGAGAAAAGCCAATCAATAGGCCCCATTTTGAAAAGACTCACATGTTGGAATTATCAACTAAAATTTTTATAACAGCTTTTATAAGCATACATCATGAGGTAAAGGCCAACACTCCTGAAATGAATGGAAAGACAGAAGTTCTCGGCAGAAAAAGAGAAACCACTAAAAAAGTAATCAAATGAAAACTTTAGGATGAAAGTATATAACATCTGAAGTAAAATATTGTCTAGCCTCAATAGAATGCTAGAAATGGCAGAAAAAGAATCAGAGAACATGACAATAGGATGAAATTATCCAGTTGAAGACCAGAAGAAAAAGACTGAAAAGAGGCTCAGAGATATGTAGGGCAATATCAAAATCTCTAACGTTTGTGGAATCAAAGTCCCTAAGAGAAAAAAACGTGCAAGAAAAAAGTATTGAAAAAGTTATGATTGAAAACTTCCAAATTTGGAGAAAGATATAAATTAACAGATTAAAGTAATGAAACAAGGTTAAACTCAGTGAAATACAGGCCCAGACACATCATACTCACATGCTGAGTACTAAAGACAAAGAAATAATCTTGACAGTAGCCAGGAAAAAAGACACATTACTTATAGAGGACCATTTGATTGCAGATTTCTCATCAGAAACCATGGAGGCCAGAAGGTTACACAACTCTATGTATTTGTTAAACTCCATAAACTATATGCCAAAAAGAGTAAATTAAAAAACAAATTAAAAATAAAAAGTATATCCAGATGTTAATTAGACATTTTTAGTGATTATTTATATATATATACATATTTCAAATCATTGTGTTACACACCCGAAACTAATACATGTCAATTATATCTCAATAAAGTAAAAATGAAATAAAAATATACGGGCAGAGTTTGGAGGATATGGAACGGCAGATGTTCAAGGAAGATGACAGAGGCAGTGAGATGAAAGGACGAAACTTTAAGGACAGAGAGTAGTGGAAAAAGACCTTTTTGGAAGTCCCGCTGGTGCTATGAAATACGGTTCCTGCTTCCATACAACAAGAAAACGTCAGTTAAGAGCTATGCTGTTCATCAGTGCTTTTAGAATTACATTTTTGTGTTGTTTTTGGAATTAAGTAATTTTGAACCTGGCCTTAAGAGAAGAACAAGTCGCTTTTTTGGTTATAAAATAATCAAAGGCCTCAGTGAGTTGAGGATCTTTTTAATGTCAGTGCTTTTCAAATGGGATGCACAAGTCAGGCTCTGAAATGTTAGTAGGAAGACAGTTTCCTGCAAACAAGAGCACAGAGGTCCACCGCCTACGTACTACATATTTTCAAAAACCACTTCAACATATACTTTAGACAATCAAGAAAAGAACAAAGGTCCAAAGTATAAGAAAGACAATTTCCTGGTTTAAAAGAATCTGAAGAGTGAAACTCAGTAATTTAAATGTAAGGATTTATAATGTCTGAAAGTGCTTAAAACTTTAGTGTGATTTTAAAACCTTTCAGAGAAAAGTTATTCAACTTAAAATTAAAATATAATGGGAAAAAAGTTTTAAAATTTATGATGAAATTCATGAATACCCAGAATTAAAATGTGGTTGTGCAGGAGTGTGGCTGTGGGTGGCGTTGGGGCGAGCAGGAGAAGCAGGCAGACAGAACACTGTTTTTCCCTTGACTTTGACAGCCTTAGAAATAATGGGTAAGCAGTTTCCAACTGTTTGCCTGAAATAGATTCTCCCTTCTTCTTTACTAAGAAAATCCCAGATTTCTTCAGCGTGGCAAACTACCCAGATAAAAATCCTCTATTCCCCAGCCTCCCTGCAGCTAGTGGTAGCGGAGTGACACAGCTCTACCCATGGGACGGAGGGAAAATTGCCTGGATGTTCTGGTTACTACCCAGATCCAGACAACTAACTGCCTCTTCCTTCCTGTTCTCTCCTTCTCTTTGTTTTCTCCTTCTCCTCCTTCTTCTTCCCCTGCCCCTGCTCTCCTTTTTCTTTCCATTTGGAATGTGGATAGGAGGAGGAGGACATGGCCACCCTCTGGGACACTGACAGCTTCGTGAAATGAAAGCCTTATGGTTAGGACGACGGAGCAGAGAGGAGGAGGAGCCGGGAAGACGGAGCAGCTGCGCACATTCTGACGAGGTTCTGACTTCCCGTTTCGTGAGAACAGTAAGTCCTGGTCTGGATGATTTTCTATTTCAAGTAACTGAACTCAGTCCCTAACATATAATGTTTTCAAAAGCATAAATCTAACCACTGAGAGAATCATAAATAAAAAATATATTTACCCAACTAATAAAGAAGATAAAGGCAGCAAAATGTTCTCTAAATAGCAAAAATACTATCCAAAAATATAAAAATAAAAATGATAGAATGATTAAAAATAGGTCCACATATATCGTGTATGAGAATAAATAGAGAATAGAGATTAAAGTAAAATCTCACTACAACCTGCTTATAAGAGTCACTTCTTGGTAAAGAACCAACAAAAAAAGTTAAAGTGGTTTTCAAGTATTCATCAGGGAAACAACAACCCAAAAGCTTGTGTGATGGCAGAATTAACACCAGACAAAACAGAAATAAAGGCAAAAACATTAAGCCAAAAGAGTTCCTTTATATTGATAAAAGATACATTCATTTTGAAAATGTTCTTTTAAGAGACATCTACCTGAAAATATTAATAAAAATTTCTTAGAAGAAAAAAGGTAAATTGATTGAAAACTGTTGTGAAAGCCTTTAATACAATCTTCAAAGATCTTGGAGATAAAAAATAAATAATGACACAGAGAATTTAAATAATACACTTGTGTTTAAATAATTATATATTAAACTGAGAGTGCATGTTCTTTGTGAGGGTTGAGTATATTTTCCAAACTAAAAATTACAAAATATTTACAAAATTCATGGGTTATATACTCTGACCTTCATTCAGGAGGGGGGACTTGAGCTGTGTGGCACTGCAAACCATATTCTGATGATCTGGAAAATGTTCCTAATGTTATGAAAATATAATGGGAAAAAAGCATAGTTCAAAATTATATATCTTATCCAAAATATTTAAATGTGCAGAATGAAATAGTACAATTTTTACAGTAACTACCTTTTGTTAAATTAGGGGAACGATAACTTCTGTACTTTTGTGTTTTATGAATTTTCTACCAGCAAGTAGGTATTACATTTAGAATACATGAAAAACAGTAATCAGTCATAAAAGCAGAAAACCAAACTGAATGTACAGCAGAAACTAACTTTTTAAGTGTGTGTGTGTAAATTTATAGACAAAGATTTAAAGGAAGTATGCTAAAGCATCAGTAGTGGATATTTCAGAGCTGTGGGATTTATAAGTTTCAGCATGTCCCAAATTATCCTCAACAAATATACATTTCTCTTCTAATTAGGAAAAAATAAATATTAGTAAAAAAATTAAGCACTTATTAGAAGTTCCCCTCTCAAGGTGACATAGAGGTTCATGCTTCAGAGCATCCCATCTTTCCAAATACACAGTGAGCCAAGTTCAAACATATATTTTTAAAAAGGAGCATAGAAAAGAAATAGCTGTGCTCCAAAAACAATAGCAATTTAAGGTGCTAAGTGGAGTTGGTCCACAGGTCTAGAGGCCAGAAGAGGGCATTTGTGACTGAGGGTTAAACTTCTGTGGGAAATAGCATCTGACTTTGCTACTTATGACACAGGCTGTGTGAACCAGGCTCATTGACTAATGCCTAGGTCACCACCCACCCCCAGCCCCATGCCCAAGAGAGGAGGCTGGACAGTTGGCACTGACCAGCCTAGGACCCCCTAGGACCTACAGCCTAGACCTGTAGTCCTAGAAGCGGAGATGGAGCTGGGCAAAGGTGTTAGTGTATGTCTGAGCAATGAGTTGGATGGCCAGCTGGACTGGAGCTTGGATCTAGCATAACCCCAGTATCATCATTGGATTAGGAGCCCAGAAATGTCATTTCACGAACTAGCTCAGTGGTGGCAGGCATGGTGAGAGGGAGGCAGGAGGAAGTGATCACAGGAGGTCCAGACAGGAGTGGAGGGATGGTCAGTAAAGGGGAAGGAAGGGAGGAGGAGAGAAAGACAGAAAAACAAAGAGGTAACTTCTCAAAATTCCTGAGGAAGGAAACACATGAGGAAGTCTAATAAAAGAAAGATCCAGTAGAATCATCAGTCAAGACATGAGTTCATTCCAGAGGAACTGTTGCAATGAAAGTAGAGGGAAGTCCAACAAGCAGCTCAGTGTTAGTTCTTTTCATTATTCACTAGAACTCCTTTAGGGAGTGATCATTGTAGGTAAGAGGGTGAATCGGGTTATCTAATGGCTGGTTTTGT